GATTAAAACATAGAGATGTAGACCAACAGAACAGACTACTCAAGGGAGAAGCAGAAACAATAGAACTTAATAACTCAGTATTTGACAAAGCAGAAAATATTAATTACTTAGAGAAAAATAATCTCTCTTTGATAAAAGCTGCTGGGAAAACTGGAAAGTAGACTGACAGAAATTAGACTTAGACAAACACCTTGTATCATATTTCAGAATACATTCTTAATGGATATGCAATCTTAATATTAAATACCATACTATAAAAAAATTAGAATACATATTCTCATCGGATTTGGCTTAGGGAGGGAATAACATATACACTCAATTGGGTATGGAAATCTATCTTACCCTACGGGAAATTAGGGAGGGAAGGGGACAAAGAGCGGGGGAGGGTAGATTAGGAGAGGGGGTAATCAGAAGCAAACACTTCTAAGGAGGGACAAGGTCAAAAGAGAGAATAGAATAAATGGGGGTGGGTGGGATAGGATTAAGCAAAATATACTTAGTTTTTCACTACCATGGAAGTGTTTTGCATGACTACACATGTACAACCTGTATCGAGTTGCTTGCCTTCTCAATGAGGATGGATGGGGATGGAAGAAGGGAGAAAATTTGGAACCCAAAGTTTTAAACACAAATGTTAAAAGAAATTGTTTTCACATGCAACTGGGAAATAAGATATACAGGAAATGGAGTATAGAAATCTATCCTGCCCTACAGGAAAATTGAAGGGGAAGGGGATAAGAGAAGGGAAGGAGAGATAGAAGGGAGGCCAGATTAGGGAAAGGGGTATTTAGAATGCATGCCATCTTGGGGTGGGGGGAAGAACGAGATGGGGAGAAAATTTGGAATTCAAAATCTTGTGGAAGTGAATGTTGAAAACTAAAAATTAATTTTAAAAATTAGAAGACAAACAGATCATATACTCACACAGCTATGAGTAATGTGTGTGTGTGGGTATATATATATATATATATATATACATATACATATACATACATATATATATGTAAAACCAAACAAGAGATACAGGCAAATACAAAAGATGAAAAAGATAATATCAATTACTTTAAATGAAAAAGCTTTTCAATAGACAAAATCAATGCACCTATTATAACAAATTTTGCATCAAATTTCTTTGATAAGAGTTTGCTATCCAAGATATATCAACTATTAGTAAACATATAGAAAGGAGTCCAATAACCATTTACCAAAAGATAGTTGTTCAAAGGACATGATCAAACAATTCTCAAAAGAATTGAAGAGAATTCACAGCCTTGTAAAAGAATGTTCAAAATCATTAATAATTAGTGAAATGAAAATTAAAACAATCCTGAAATTTCACTTCACATCACGAAAATTGGCAAAAGTGACCAAAAAAATTGTCAGTCAATCTTGAAGGAATAGTTGAATAGTAGATACATTAATACATCTTTGGTGAAACTCTGAAGTGGCACAACCATCTTGGAAAGTAATTTGGAATTATGCAAATAAAGCAACTAAAATATTCATATCCTTTGAACCGGAAATTCCATTACTAGGCTGATATCTCAAGGAAGCAGTCCATAAGAAGAAAATCCTCATATGCTCCAAAATACTTATAGTGGTGTGTGTGTATGTGTGTGTGTGTGTGTGTGTGTGTGTGTGTGTGAGACTGTGTTTGTGTGTATGGGCATGTTAGCTAAGAATTAGAAACAAAATAGATGCCTATCAATTGGGGAATGACTAAATAAATTGTGGTACATGAATGTAATGAAATATTACTGTATTGTAACAAATGATATGTGTAATGAATACAGAATATCATGGAAAGATCTGTATGAAGTGTTGTAGATGTACAGAATGAAGTAAGTAGGATCAAACAATATAGATAGTAACTATAACAATGTATATGTAAAAAATAACAACACCAAAAAAAAAAAACAAAAACCAAATGTCAATGTAACAAAATGATAAAGAAAAGATTAAGCAGGATTCATTGAAGAGATATGAGACAACATCCTCACCTGCCCCTTCATGGAGGTGAGAGATACATAGGTGTTACATATTGCATACATTTTTGTCTTTTTCATTGTATTATCAGTTTTGCTATTTTTTTTCTCTCTAAAAACATTATTTCTTATATTGGATTGCTCCCAGGGAGAAGGAGGAGGGATACTTGGGATAATGACCATGATGCAACAAACAGAATATATCAATAAAAACTTATTTAAAAATAAAACAAAAGATTAGCTCATACTTCTATACCACTTCATGATTTGCCAACTCTTTCTTTCAACAGCCCCCAGAGGTTAAGTATTATTGGGGAAGTACATAGTGCACCAGATTTTGAGTCAAGAAGAAAAGGGTTCAGATTTCTTCTGTTGCCAACTATAGTAATTTAACCTCTGTGCACTTCATTTAACCTCTAAGCTTCAGATTCATCATCTTTTAAATAGGGCAATAATATCTGCAGAACTTAGAAGAAGCAGGTATCAGACTTAGAACCAGAAGGAACCACAGAGGTCATCAAACCAAGTCCTCTCATTTTACAGATGAGAAAATAAGGACACTGAAAACCAGATAACATAAAGTGATTTGTAAACACTCTCTTCCAGTTCAGACCTGAATGATATAGGGGAAAAAAACATTACTCTCCTTCCCCCTCTATTCCAGCCAAACTAGTCCATATATCTGATATTCCCCATACATCCCTATCCATCTCTTGTATTGGTTCTCTCTACGAGCTATCCTTCTGTATGTACACTTGACCTCATCCCCACCTGCCTTCTCCTACATTGTGCCTGAATCACCCTACCTCCATTCACTTCAATTTCTTCCTATCTCTTTTGTTTCTCTTCAGTCATTTTAGAAGAGTCTGATTCTTCATGACCTCATTGGGATTTTCTTGGCAAAGATACTAGAATGGTTTGCCATTTCCTTCTCTAGCTCATTTTACCGTTGAGGAATTGAAACAAAGAGGGTGAAGTGACTTGCCCAAGGTCACACAACTAATAAGTGTCTGAGGCTAGATTTGAACTCATGAAGATGATTCCAAGCTAAGTGATCTATCTACTGTGCCACCTAGCTGTCCTTTTCCAATCTCTCTTTTAGTGACCTCATTAGCTCTCTTTGGTTAATTATCATCTCTTATACAAGAAACTCACGAATGTGTATCTCCAGGCTCAGGCTTTCCTCCAATCTTCTCAACTGTATCACCAGTTGCCTATTAGATATTTGAAACTGGATGTCCTGAGTACATCTCAAACTCAACATAGAGCTTTTAAGGTCTCCAAAGTATATTGTATATATCATCTCATTTGATCATGATATCATCAATAGAAATAGAGAAGTTGGAAGTTTAGAAGACAAAGTTCATTTTTCCACACCTCCCCCACCACGTACTTCTCTTCCCAATTTCTAACTTCTCTTTCTCCCTTAATGGTATCACAATCAAATGAGATAACATATAGAATGTACTTTGTAAACATTTAAAGCACCCTATTACTTTTGTTATTGCCATCTGCCATTTTTGTAAACTTGGCTTTATCTTCAAATTCTTACTTTCATTCCTTCACCCTGCTTATCCAATAAATTGCCAATGCTTTTTCTTATATCTGACAATTTCTCTCTTCTCTCACAGCCACTGCCTTCCTGGCCCTCATCACCTATTGTCTACACCACTGAAATGACACAAAAATAAGTGATAAAGAATGAAATAATCCCTATTTAAAATATTCTATTTACACATGGTTAGAGAACTCAAGTGACTTTCCCAAATTCTACAGTTAGTTTGAGCAGAGTCAGGAACTGAACCCAGTCTAATTTTTTAGTCCAGCTATTTTAATCAATCAGTGAACATTTAGTAAGTACTATGTGTTAGGTGCTATGTGATAGTGTTGAGGATACAAATAAAACCCAAAAACTATTACCACTCTCAGGGAATTTAATTCTAATTTGTGACAAAATATGTCCATGTACAGATATTTCAAGATACACACAAAGTAGATATAAGTTCACCTTAATCTGTAAGGCCTCCTGTAGAAGGTGACTTGAGTCTTGAAAAAATACAGGAATTCTATGAACCTGAGATAGGGAGGGATTATATTCTAAATATAAGGGACAGTGAGTACAATAAGACTATTTTTACAACTCTTTTAAAGTTCAATTAACATATCTAGTTTTTACCCTAGGAGGGTTTAAATTTAAACACCTTTGTTCGTATTAATTTTAGATGGTGTTCATAGGAGTTAATAATAATAATGATAATGATGAGATACATAGGTATAGATATCTATATCTATGTACATTGATATAGGCTTACTATGTACCAAGTACTTGACAATTACTACCTCATTTGATCCTCACAACAACTCTGTGAGGTAGGTGCTATTATCATCTCCATTTTTGAGATGAGGAAACTGAGGGGGAAAAGAGATTAAGTGACTTCCCCAGGGTCACACAACTAGTAAGTATCTGAGGCTGGATTTGAACTCAAGTCTTCCTGGGATTCCAGGCTCGGTGCTCTATTCATTGTACCATGTATCTGTCCCCTACTGGAAGGTATATTAGAAGTGATGTAGATCAATTCACTCCTTTTACAGATGAAAACACTGAGACTCAAGAAGGTTAAATGACTTGTGTCAGAAGTAGGATTTGAACCAAGATCCTCTAATGCCAGAGTTAGTACTCTTTCAACTATTTCAGAGGTGTCAAAACAATCTCCAGTGGGCCACATACTCACAACACTTCTGAGTGTGGTCCAAATCAGATAAAAATATAATTGGGAAATATTTAACAAAATAATTTAAACAGACAGTTTAGACATGCAATTTAAACATAGACATCATCACATTTCAAATCTAAGTCAATGTGTGGCCTGTAGAGATCCTTATGTAACAGTTACCAGCCTCCATTTCTCTTTGAGTTTGACACCACTGCACTATAAGATTTATGCTATTTTCTGATATCAATGAAGCAAAATTCTACAAACAATTAATGACACAATACTTTAAAGATCTTCAAACCTGTTCGGACAGGGTATCTGCCTGTAAGGAAAGCTGCTCTGCTGGGGGTACACATTGCTTCTGCAGAAATATGCTGAGTGAGTTTTATACCTTCTTTGCAGAGACGGTCAACATTAGGAGTCCTAAAAAGTGGGGGGGGGGGGGTAAACATGTTTTAAGTTAACTCAAGTTATATGAGAATGTTCAGTTAATGTTGCTTAAGTTCATACTCACAGAACATTTAGACAACATAGATTTTCCAGTATTGTTTTCCCTTCCTACCAGGATGCTACATTAACTAGGGATACCTTAGAAAGTGAAAGCTAGGATCAAAGTGTTGTGGGTTCCATTTTTAGTTGCTTTTTTTTTTCCAAATTATTAAATGGTAACAGACTTAAGTGCATTTATGTCAATTAATAGAATAATAGCTTATCAAAACTGTGAGGAAACATTGGTTACTCCAACTTCTACCCAAACAAGCTTTTCTACACTACCCACACATGTGTTCAAATACCACCAGTAAAAGACAATTCATCAATCTCCAAGATAATCTATTCAATTTTTTGGAGCCTTCTAATTGATAGGAAGTTTTATTTTTTGGAGCTTACATCTCTCTCTGTACTTTCTATCTACTTACAGTCACTTTCTTGATTCAAATAGAATACAGTAAATTCTTTCTTGAGATGAAAACCCCACAAATACACATCGCTCTTTTATGTTTTCTCTCTTCTAGATTAAATATTTCTCAATTGTTTCTAGATTCATTAAACTGATCCTGGAACATAGCATTGATATTAAAGCATCATATTATTTGTAAATCCCTCATGAATGTGCATTTTAAACTTAATTTATTGGCTATTCATACACTAGACTTTAAAAAAAAATCATCCTTCTCACCAAAACAAGCTCCAAATAAAAAAAAAACTTCGACTTTCTGATTAATCTTCCTTTCATCTTTTAACATAATAGCTAATAATAACTGGAATTTATATAGCATCTACAATGTGCTAGGCACTGCAATAGGCACTTTACAAAGTAGGTGCTTTTATTATCCTCTTTTTACAGTGGAGAAAACTGAGGCCAACATAAGTTAAGTGACTTAATCAGGATTTCACAGCTAGAAAGTATCCAAGGCCAGATTTGAGCTTAAGGTCTTTCTGACTCCAAGCCCAGTGTTCTATTCACTGCACTGCCTAACTGTCTTTGCAATTATTTCTATAGACACAGGTTACATCATTTATTGAAACTACTAACATGATCATTTTGGTCAAATTGGTACCTTAATTTAACCAAAGCAAAGTTTTTTTAAAAAGTAGCACCAATTAACCCAATTGTACAGGTATATGTAGCCATAGACTTCATAGCTTTTAATCAACAAAATAATTTTAAAACTTGCTAAATCCATACCTAAGTGTAACATTGCCAAAGCATCCTAGGTCACCAATTCCCAGATCATCTGCCATTATCAGTACCACATTCGGTTTGGAATCAGGTGCAACTGTTGATCCACAAATTTTCAATAATAGACCAACTAGGGATAGAATGATTAGGGAGTGGCTATGAAGAGAAAAAAAGATTATGTTTTGATGAATTAGGAATTTATCAAAATCACTTTTTGATGATAAAAATAAAAAAGTTTATCTGTTTTTGCTATGAGCCAAAGCATGAGCAACATCATTTCAGGCATTCAGTCCTGCTGATTTCTATCCCTCAGTGAAGAGAAATTCATTTTAAGTCAACTAATCCTGGAGGGAATTTTGGAGCAGGTTTTGTGTTAAGAAATTCCCTAGATGGATCTCATAACTATTTTTGTTTTAGAAGTATAAAAATACATAACACAAATTTCAGATAAGCATAAACATAGACATCCAGAGAAACGGGTGCCAGAACCCATGACAAGTTCATAAGAGACAACCATGGACTAAGTTATACAATTGAATACCAAAGCTCCTTTTGTAGAATTTGTCTTTAATGTCCCTAGTCTTCCCTTGCTCTGTTCCTTTGCAGTGTCTTCCCCCTACCCCACTTTCAGATAACTAGTATACACCTTCTTTCTCCCCAACCATCCACAAAAAAAAAAAGGATCTAGAAAGGCTTTAGGAGCTTACTTTAAAGTTCCCTCTTTCAAGGCCACGTATATATTAAGCCTTAATTCTTATTGGGCAAAATAAATCTTTGTACAGAGGTTTCAGCTACTCCTGAGCAAGTAAAATGGGGAAAGGTCAGAGGAAATATTTGTAGTTTTCTTGAAATCACTCTACCAAGCAGGCTTCTGGTCAACCTGAGTGTAAGGTAAGCTCTGGTAGTAACAGAAGCCAATGAAAAACATCAACATAGATCTTAAATTATATTACTTTTGTGAGTCAAATCCAGGGTTTGTTTTTTTATCTCATCTCAGTAATATAACTTCATATTCTGTCATTTGTAAAGCCAGATGGCATTTGTAAGAGAGAAATGGAAATAGCCTTTCAGAAGTAAATATGGTTATGTCTATGCTGAATCTCACTTACTACATAGTATTAATGAATGTATTCCTAACTAATAAAGTAGATTGATACAATAGCAATGTTTATACAATCTATGACTCACTGAATTTTCTTAGGTGGCTGGAGCTAAAATAAAAATTAATCTGAAAAGCGGAAGGGTTCCCAGTCCACCAAGACTGCCAGACCACCAGGGGCAGATTAATATCCTGATCTCATTTTCAAATTGCACACACACATAAAAAAAAAAATAGATTTATGACAATCATGAATCTCCTCCATTAAACCTTTAAAAACATTTGGTGTAATCCTACTTTTGCATTGAAATCTTGGGTTCCTTCAGAATGAAGCATCTAGAGACAGTAAGTGAGGAGAAGTAACTGTTTCAGTGTGACCTTCGGAATTTAAGAAAGGATGTGGTTGCCAGCCTTTCTTCTAATGCCCAGTGACTATAAAATCTTTGGGAGGGTACAATGAGTAATCCCAGTACAGGCCTGCTCAGGGTCACAAAACAACTTTTTTTCATCATCAGCTGCATTTATTAATTTTATTGTCTATTGGATAGGTACCCATAGCTTCCCATCACAGGAAATATTGAGTTCATCAGAAGAAGAATCCCATTATATTACACATCTGTAAGATTGATTTTTTCAAATGCTACATAAACCTTATGCTTTGGAAAAGAGAGAATTGGAGAGGGAATGATTTTCAATGGCATTGTCTCTTACCTGTGCTCCATCATTGCATATATTTCTTTTCTTCTTTGGTGAATGTGATAACCACCTGTAAAAATCAATTCAGTGTAAATTAGTAACTAAAGTTAGGAGCTTCCAGGTTTCTAAGAAATTTCCACTAATTCTCACAAATATTGAATGGTTTTTAGTTGCTATATAAAAAATAAAGCAATGCCCCACTAGTTGACTAACCTGTTTTTTTAATTTTTCCTCTAACCATTTGCCAAATGCCCCAATTCAAATGCATAAATCTATGACAATTCTAGAATCCTTGGGTTCTCCAAAGCACTTTGAGAAACTCTCATCTAATATGTATTTGGCTTTTCATAGCTCTTCAAAGTAAAGTGTGGGTGCCTCTAAAGAAAGGGAAGACTTCCAGAGCTTTGGAAGCCCAGACAAAAAAATTCTATCAAATGACTTTGGACCATCATGACTTCTCTCCATTTTCATTATGTTATTATTCTCTCTTCAGTTACTGTGGGTTCCTGAAGTCCCAAAGCTATTTGAGGGTTAAGGGTCATTAAGTGTCAGAGTGCTTCTGTATATGGGATCCCTCAGAAGCACAGCATTGAAGAAGGGCTGTCAAACCTCAATATAAAGAAAGATTCCTCCCTCTCCCTCATCACATACATACATATTTATACATCTAGGTTTGCTTTCTATTATCAATATCTAAGAACCCAGTCTTCCAATTATCATCCCACTGAGTATACACAACAAAATTAATTCATACCCAAGAGACTATCTACTAGAAATCTTCTCCAAATGATTTTCCTCACCCTGATAAAATTCAACTCAATCCTATTAATTGAAGGTCTATTGGAGTCCTCCTTATTTCAATGTGGAGAACATGCCAATGGAACTTTACCAAGCAAAAACGGTTTGCCGTCTCTGTGTACCACAACCATAAAGTCTGAATTTCTCTAGCAAAAAAATATAAAATAGTCAAATGACTCCAATTCACCTGTTTTAAGTTTCCCAGAAGAGGGATGTAGTTAATCTTTCTTTTTGAATCTGACTGGAAAAAAATGTTTGCCAGATCTTTAGAAATGTGCCTTATATACTCACCTTATATAGAGATAAGACTGGGTACATGTCTGATTCAGACACAAGTATGTATGTATCTGATTTGCATCCCCATGCAAATGCAGAGCTATTAATCATCCTAGGGCCCCCACCTCCTTTTCTTCTTTGAAGGAAGTATAACATTCTTCAATTAGTCATATAAGATTATTAGCTCCAAATAACACACCCAAACAGGCAAAATCTAGTCCTATCCAAATTATAGAAGTTTGACTCAATCTTGCCAGATACATACGATCGTAGGTTAAAGTGTCATACCTTCAAAACTGGAAAAGTTGTTATTGGGGCAGCTAGGTGGCACAGTGGGGGCAGTTAGGTGGTGCAGAGCATAGAACACCAGCCCTGAAGTCAGGAGGACCTGAGTTCAAATCCGGTCTCAGACCAGATACTTGCCACTTACTAGCTGTGTGACCCTGAGCAAGTCACTTAACCCCAATTGCTTTGGGGAAAAAACAGTGTTGTTATTAACCATTGGGTCCAACTTCTTTCTTTTACATATGATAAAACTGACGCCCAGGGAGGCTATTTTACTTGTCTGAAGTCACACTGCTAGTTATTGTCTGGGTTAAGGTCTTCTGGCAGTGATTAAGAAGATTAATGAAAACTAGGAGTAATGCTGACAAGTAGGAGTGAGTGAAGACAGCTTAAAAGAAGCAAATGGATGTCCTTATCTTCTTACAAAAGAAGTATCTCAGGTCATTTGCCAATGCAAGGATGTTCGTGGAATGGATGATGAAGCAAAAATTTAAAAAAAAATTAGTAAAGGTTTCTGGAGAATGATATAAGCAATTCACCTGTGTTAAGTAGACCAATCAGAACAATTGTTGAAGTAATGCAGATATAAAGATATAGATATAAATGTTAAGATCAACACAAATATTTGAAATTCTTAAGTGACATTCAGAAGTCCAAGAATCAGAAAAAGTTGAAAATGAAAATGTCTGTTAGATTTGATTGGCAGAGCAGATAAGGGAAAATAATTTCATGAGTTATATATTTAGTACTAATCATTACACATCAAACTATCTTAGGAATTATTACATATCAATGTGATAGAGTCACATCATTCATCTTAGGCTCATAGATTTGAGGTGGAAGAGACATAGAGGTCATCAGGTCCAATGACTATAGATGAGAAAACTGAAGCTTAGAGTTTATGATAGTCTCTATCTCTTTTTAGGGCTCCATTCTAAATACCTTAAACGTGCATTATCATTGTCTCTTAACACATAACTACAAAACGGAAGTGTGATGTTTGGCTTTTTTTTCCGTGTTACAGCAGTCAGCCATTTCAGCATATATAGCAGATAAGCAAATACCAAGTATAGAGAAAGTTAGAGAAAGTAATTTCCAGAGGGAGAAAACACTGCCAGAGAAACCAGGGCAGTGAAACTATCACTTCCCTGTTTCTAGACAATCTCTTGATTCAGCCTAAATTCATAGTAGCCTTTTTGGCTACCATATCAAACTATAGACTCATATAGAGCTTTTAAGTCTACCATAACCCTCAGACATTTTCCATATAAAATTCTGCCTAAGTATATTCTCCATTCTGTACTTGTAACATTGATTTATTGAGCCCAAGTGTATGACTTTGCACCTCTCACTGTTATATTTAGTCACGTTAGAAAGAGTTGATACCTCTAATCTATTGAGGTTTTTTTTTTTTTTTGGATCCTGATGCCGTCAGCTAATGTTAGACAGATTGGTGACACAGTGAATAAAGTGTTAGTCCTACCATCAAGAAGATCTGAGTTCAAATCTAGCCTCAGTCATTTAAAAGGTATGAGATGGTAGGCAAGTCACTTAACCTCTGTCTCAATGTCCTCAACTGTAAAATAGGAATAATAGATTTTCTTCCAGTGTTGTTGCTAACATTAAATGAGATCATATCTGTAAAACACTTAACTTGGTAAGCTATTTTGTAATAGGTCCTATATACATTCCCTGATATACTAGGTGAGTAATTCATGAAAAGTAAATGAGGTTAGTCATGTTCTGTTCTTGAAGAGACCATGATATTCTTGATCATTTTCACTTCCCCTTCTCAATGCTTATAAACCATATTTTAATAATATATTCATTATTTTTTCTGCAAAAAATGGAGTTAAGTTAAACAATCTATAGTTTATTAGATTCTCTTTTTTAAAGAAGACATTTCTCTTCTTCAGGTCTGTGGTCCTTTTCCATTTTTTGATGATCTTTCAAAAATCATGGTTATTGATTCGGTAATCATATTTGACAGTTTTCTGAGTTCCCTGAGATGTAATTTGTGGTGGCTAGTGACTTGAATTCAGTAAGGCCAACTAAGTGCTCTCTTACAAGCTTTTCACTTATTTTGAGTTTCAACTTTCTGTTACCATTTTTATTCAGATAATCAAAAAATCTTAATATTAAAAGGAAAATCTGTAACCACGTAGTCCAACCCATACTTGAAGCAGAAATCTCTTCTACAACAGGTATGACAAATGGCTCTCTACCTTCCACTTGAGAGGCATTGGGGTATAATGGAAAAAAGTTCTAGGAATGGAGGCATGATATAAGTGGGTTTGAATCCTACTTTATATCCTGATCACCTGGATAGTCATTCAAACTTTTTGAGCTACAATTTCTTCATCCATAAAATGGAAATAGCAACACTTTTGGAATCCAGTATTACTATGAAGGTCAAATTAGACAATGTATCCAAAGAACTTTCCAAACCTGAAAGCATATTACACGTCAGCTTTCGTTACCAATGTAGACTTCAGGGGGAAAAAAACACTCTACTATCATCCTTCAAAATCTGAAAACCATTCTTCACAGAGAAAACTGTATCTACTTATACAATTTTTCACATCTGTATTTGATAATAGAATGGTTACTGAATAAAATAACCTAATAAAGTTTTTTTAATTCATCCCCAAATACAAAATGGAATAATATTAATGGCATCTTTCAATATTATTAACAATGTTATATTTTGATCTTCAAGTATAAGTTAAAATTTTTTTTTAAAATCTCCAAAGTACCAGTACTACTTGTTTATATTATTTACCATAGACAGTTGTGAGAAGATGGCTATGTTAACTTTGTGATCTTTGTATAAAAAAGAAAAGAAAGCCTAGTAGATACTGGAATACATTAATCAATAACAAGCAAAAATTCTTAAGGCACAGGCTTAGGCTACACTTAAAAGTCACTTAATAAAATGATTGTCTTATAGCTCTTTGACTCCTCTCTTTTTATATTTGGTTATTAAATAACCAAGAGTGGTCAGTTGATTCTATTGCCTTTGTGATTGAATACAGTCAGTTCATTCCATGATGAGTCAAGATCATTTCTCAGTATTTTATTAGGTGCTACAGCGAGATACAAAGGACAAAGAAGAAAGTTTCTCTGTGCTCAAGGAACTGTTACCAACCAGTCAGTTTAAAGGAATATGAACTTAGAATAGTTTCCAAATAAATTGGATATGATTGCTACAAAACTTTTTTTAACAATATGTAAACTATACAGTAATCTACTGTAAAAATCAAAATTTTACTGTATTTTTGTAACACATATTAAAAATAATGCTTTTGTTGTTGTTGATCAGTCATTTCTGTTGTGTCCGACTTTTTGTGACCCCATTTGGAATTTTCTTGGCAAAGATACTGGAATGGTTTGCCATTTCCTTCTCTTAACTCATTTTACAGGTGCAGAACTGAGACAAACAGGGTTAAGTGACTTGCCCAAGGTCACACAACTATTATGTGTTTGAGGCTGAATTTGGACACGTGAAGATGAGTCTTCCTGATTCCAAGCCCAGGGCTCTATCCACTATACCACTTTCTTTATCTATTACTAAACTGCAGCAGGGAACTATAAATTCAGGATTTAGCACTGGCATTTTTATGAAATAAATGTGATATCTGAAGACATTCTTAAATAAACTTCATGCTACACTTGTATAATCAGCCCAAACAAAACCAAATTTCATAAGTAAACTTTTATTTCCTTTCTTAAGTAAATTTTTAGTAAACATTTTACCTTAATTTCTAAAAGCCACTATTAAAAGCCTTCAACAGTCTACTGTTTTTTAAAAGCAACTTTAGTATAACTACATATATGAATAAAAATCAGATTGTCTTTGCTATTCTTATCACTCATTATGTCTTGCAACAACTCATGTGGTGTGCTTCTCCACCATCCCACATTAAATATATTAAGGAATATATTCTTTATTAAATCACTTGTATTTTAATGCTATAGTATATAATTTAACATGGCATTGTACTCTGCTATTACACACTTTTTGAATGATAGTAATAATTAATACATTGCTTTGATGTTTGCAAATAACTTATAATTATTATCTCATTTGATCCTTACTACAATCCTGGAAGGTAGGTGCTATTATGATCCCAATTTTACAGTTGAGGAAATTGAAGCAAATAGAGGTTAAGTGACTTACCTAGGGTTACAAAGCTAGTAAGTGTCTAAGGCAATATTTGAATTCAGATTCTCTTAATTCCTGGTCCAACAACTTATCTACTGCAAATCTAGTTGCCTATAACAAGTTTATTATATATTGGTGTTTTATATTATTGTATCAATGAGATATTAATTATAATAATAGCTTATATCTGTTTGTATATGAATATATTCCACTGAAATTCTATTCTGATGCCTTATCTTTGTGTGGAGGTGGCCCTAGATTCTTCAACGCCATGATGGTAGAGTCATCTCTCTGTCAAGTCTTGCCAAACTGAAAAGGACTTTGGTTGAGATCAGTGACAGATGATGTATCTATTGACAAAACCACGAGACTTCACATAAAGTGATTAACTTTTTCCCCCAACTGATTAAAACCATCTAAGTTTTAAAGCAATTGTGATGTTAACTGAGGGTGTATTCAGACTAATGAAATCAATCATCTCTGAAGTATTGAAGTGAGCAACATTGTA